ACAGACAATATATACCCCGGAGAAAAAGGGGAAAAAAAAAAACAGAAGGAAGACAAGCTAATTCTTTTCAAAAAAAAAAAAAAAAAAAAAGAACGAGGAAAAGGCATATGCTTTTCCCCAGCGCTACTCGTATATCTGAAGGATTGTGGCTTTGGCTGACCTCATGGAGGAGACGGAGGCGATGGCAGCCGTCAGATTTCCCGTCATCATCAATGCCGCCCTTCGGCCGACGGCGGACAGGGGCGAATTGACCCTCCTCTCTGTCTCACCCTGCTTTTCTCCCTCTTCATCTGCACCGTTCATTCTGCCGATCATTTCCGCAGTGAGCAGTGCCGCCTCCTCGTCCTCCGCGTCCTCCATGTCACCGCCATATCCACGACCTTCTCCTTCGTCTCCGGCAATCCCGAGGCAATCCCCAGTCCTCCCTGATGCAGCGCATATGGTCACATTTCCGACGCCATTGGCATCGGCATTACCGACGGCGTGCCCGGGCGTCAAACAAGAGGAGAGAGAGGACTCCTCCCCCTCCCTCCACCCTCCTCTCCATCTCCCGCTCTTCGGCTTCGCGCCGGTGCATTTGCTGGAAGTGCGAAAGGATGCAATTTGGCGCCGGTTCCTTTTGGATTTCGTATTCGTTCCCGCCAAGATCGCACGATCGCAACAAGCCCACTGTCCTCCCAGCCGCGCAACTTCCCCTCCTCCCCCGCCCACCGCCCCTCGCTCGGCGCGCTCCGCCCCCTGCCCATCAGCACGCCCCTGGGGAGGAACACAAGCGGAGGTCTTCCGCGCGAGTGGACCACAGCCCAGAGCCAATGAGGACGCCGTCGCCATTGTCGCCGTTATGCGTACGGATCCGTACGGCTGGCTAACCCGTCCCGACTGCACAGCGCCGGCCCGCTGTGCGCATTCACGCGCTCGTGCGCGCTGTGTCGCGCTTCTGGGATTGTCTTGCCCTTCTCCGGCTTTATACGTCGGTCCATGCCCGCGCCTGAGGGCGCAGTTCGGCAGATTCTCCAATTTTTCCCTCGCCTCCGCTTGAGCGCGCTCAGAGCGCGCTCAGAACGCGCTCAAGGGGAGAAGCAGAGCACGAACGAATCTCACTCCGCCTGCCGTACCACGCTCCCGCCCAAACCTGCTGAAAAAAAGCGAAAAAAAAGGAAGGGCCTCGCTCCACTCCTCTCCACGTGCGCAAACGACAAAAAATATGGCGGTGTATAGTTCCATGTTTCTAGAGAAGATTCATTCATTCTTATTTTGCACATTCATTGGTACAGTTCAGTAGTGGAGCGAGGCCCAAAGCAAATGGAAGAGGGTCTCTCAGAGCCAGAAACGAGGCCCAAAGCAAATGGAAGAGGGTCTCTCAGAGCCAGAAACGAGGTGTATGAAGCGTACGAAAAAAAGAAGGGAAAAGAAAGAGGTGCCAATGAACTGTCGGACGCAAATGCGCGAGTCGGAAAGGGGGAGCAAACCCCTCTCAGCCATCTCTCGGTTTGGGCATGTGGTCCCCCTTTCTGGTGGAGGGGCCATGTTCATCCTCATCGAATCTTCGTTTTTCCTTTGCCAATAATTTCGACCAATCCTAGAAGGGTAAATATCCGTTATGCACCAGAAAGTAAACAGCATGCCACGGAAAAGGGGTGTGGGATCCAGCGGCCTAGCTCAGTTGGGTAGGCACCCAAGTGGCATTCAGGAGGTTGTGGGTTCGAGCCCCACAACAGCCTGCGGCACACTTAGTGCCAACCAGCACTTGACACCTCTGATCGGTATTAGCAGGGTCCTTGGCCAACACGGGTGCGACTGTGAGTGTGAGTGGGTTGTGTGTGGTGTGTGGGAGAGTGTTGGCCTTAGACACTGCTGTTATTCGGTTGCGGGTGGGGGACGATGAAAAGGAAGGCGCAGCTACTGGCAAAATGCTCGGTCTTTGCGCTACCTGGACACCCACTGGCGGCCCCACCCGATCCTTGACCACCATGGTTGGGGCGGGGGGCAACATGGATCCCCTCTGATGGCTGGAGGGCGACAACAAAGCTATGTTTGCAGGGGTCCCCTGTATAAGCCTTAGGAGTAGTGGTTGGTAGGTAGGTAGTGAAGGTGAATTGAAAGAATTTGAAAGATGATGATGAAAAAGATTTGCGAGAAGAATATAGTGAAGTTTTTATATAAAAAAAGAAAGCAGTGTGGGCGCTGTTGCAATTTCCTTTCGGTTTCCGGTAGGGACAGGTTTGGCCGGGAGTGCCTTACTTAGCCCGTTTGGCCGCAACGAATGATGTGAGAAACGATGTGAGTAATGCCGGGCCTGTTTCCCAGTTATACGAATATATGAGACCTGTTATTGAAAAAAAAAAAAAAAGGAGAGCCCAGCCTGCCAGCACAGTCTGCCCCCCCACCACCCAAAAAAAAAAACTAGTTCAGCTATCGACCACGGGCACTCCCGTATACGCGCCGCAGCCCTAGGGGGGTCGGCCAAGGGAAGGCCCGGTCGCTGCGCGAAGGCCGGGCTCCGCTTCCCTAGGAACGACACACTTGAGAAAACAAAAAAGAAAGAAAGAAGGGGAAAAAAAAAACAAATACACAAACGAAAAAAAAAACGAACGGACAAAGAGTTGAAGTCGAGCACGCGCGCGCGTGCGCGCGCGCGCACGAGAGAGAGAGAGAGAGAGAGAGAGAGAGAGAGAGAGGGGCAGCGAGTTCG